CACCTGCAAAGCCATTTTCACCACCACAGGTTCATCCTCTGAGAGGAACAAGCAAAGTTTCTGTCAAACCACCTCCTCACTACTCAACCTCCTGACTACTGCAACTCATTCCTGGCAATCAGACTCAAAAGCTCCAGCCCCGCTTATATTCATCATCTTCAAATAATGTGACATCACACCTCTACTACGCTTCCTCCACTGGCTAGGGTGACCAGTCAGTTATCGCCCAGTTGCAGGAGAGTAGATGTGATGTAGCGGGAAAATGCAGGACACGAGTGTGAGTAAATGTAAATATTAATGTTGATTGGATGATAACATGCTTTATATCATCAATAAGCTTTGTTAATGGTGACCGACTCTGTGACAGTTTGCCCAGGTTTAAGTGAAAGGCTATAGGCTATATTCAGTCTACTAAATATAATGAAATTAATAACAGACTAAAATAAATTTCCTTAAGTGGCGTGGCGACTAGATTATGTTTTTTTAATTAGACTATGCGAACATTACATGTGTTTTACCAGATTCAGTGCATCTTGAACTTGTATTTTTTGTTGGGTCTGGCAGGTTTGATCAGGATGTTCTTATCTAGCATGTGTCTAGAAAAAATCCTGCCTGGATGTATTTAACGATTTTTGATGAGGTCCACACTGATCCCTTTGCTCCATCCAGTCATCATCAGCAGGAAAAAAAACCTCTCTATGAATGCTTTGGTTGTTGTTTCCCCACTCTAGCTAGAACATGACGGCTGCACAAATGGATTTTTAAATGGCAATCACATTTTTTTTGTAATTTCAGGGAAGAAAAAAATAATAATACACACATAATTGAAATGTGGGACACTGTTTACGTCTTGCAGGAAAAGGGACAAACCTCTCAATTTCAAGACTGTCCCGCAAAATGCAGGACAGGTGGTCACCCTACCACTGGATCCTTATTCTCATACACTAAATTCCAGTAGTAAAACTTTTTTAAACCAGGTTTGTTTAATTTTTCAGACTCTACTACTAAGTGTCATTAGTGTAACCTTCATTTATAACCTTCATTATTATCATCATGTTCAGTATCTTGGGTAGACTGCATTGTGCTGATTCTGGTGATGAGCAGTTTTCTTGCATCACGTTCATCTCTGTATAGCTGATATTGGGTGGCCAGATCCTCTTTTAGATGATCAACCTATGGGAGAGATACACATATACTATTGTCATATATGCTTTATGGAAGCAGCAGTGTTGTTATTGTTAACTACAACTAAATTTTAAATATTAACAATTGTTTTCAGCAATTGAATTAAAGCTTAAATAAAGGAAAAAATAATAAAAAAATTATTTATTGGATAAAAAACATTAACTTAAGTTTAAGTATAAAATAAAAATACATTTAAGATAAAAAAAACACTAAAACTAGATCAACTAATTTAAATTACAAAGCACATAACAAAATTACTAACAACCTAACTAAAAATAAAACAGAAAATTAAAGTATAAAAATAAAATCTAATTTAACACTAGGAATCAGTTAATTTGAACTAATTTTCTTTCTAGTTTCACTCCTCCTCTATAAAATGTGTATGTGAATGACCTGCACCACTTGAGATGTAAATCAATGACCCATCGTTTGGCCCTGACAAGCATCTGCTGTAAACATTTCAATTAATTTCAAACTGTGTTCAAATGTTAATAAGATACACATAATATGCTAAGAGAAACCACAACGTTATATGATCAGTTTCTCATAGAGAATGGGATCATATGATTCCATAAAATAAGCTTTACCCTATTGTAGCCTATTGAGAGGTCATGACTGTCGTTAACCGATATTCAGTACATTTGTCAAATACTGACAAAACATCCTTTAACCACTCAGAATAGTGAATAATCCAAGGTGACCAGATCTCTACAAAAGGACAAACATAATAAATTAGCTCCACCTGAATCTGCAGAGCAGTCTGTTGTCCTCTCATACTCTCAATGACACGCTGCAGACGCTGACACTCTTGCTTCAGAGCTCGGATCTCATCTCTTTCCTGTACTCTCTGATCAAGAATCTTCTTTTCACACTGTTCCGACACAAGCACCAGCTTCCCCCGCAGTGATAGCAGATCCCTGATCTGTTCACGAAGATGCGCTGGGAGAGACATTAACACTTTGATTAGTGTCATCTCATCTATTATTTTTCTTATGACTTACTATTAGGGATGTAACGATTCACTCAACTCACGATTCGATTCGATTCGATTCGCGATTATTATTATTTTTACAAAATGAGATTTAAGACAAATTATAAATTAAATGTGTCCTTTTATTATTGCTTGGACAAAATGCTGCACATTTCTTTGTGAAATTGAAATATAACACTATAATAATATACTAATATAGCACTTGCATATCATTGCTCTTTTGTTGGTTTTGATTGCTTCTATTGTCCTCATTTGTAAGTCGCTTTGGATAAAAGCGTCTGCTAAATGAGAAAATTTAAATATAATGTAAATGTAAATAACAAAACTAAATTGAGATCCAAACAAAGATGCTGCATACATGCAACATTAGCACTTTTTAATCTAAGTTAGATTGCATAATTTCGAAATTTGAAGCAAAAACAGGATGGTTTGACTTCAGTTTTGTGAAACTATACATAAAAAATATCTGCATGAAACAGAAACAGCAGACGAGCTGAATGAGACGCAGATTCACTCTCTGCCAGCAGGTGGCGCTTAAAGCAATTCCTTGGTTTCCGCTGTAAACAAAGCAGCGCTGCACTTATGCTTTATACAGAGGCAAGATGAAAAGAAAAAATACCATCTACACTTTTCTAAAGACAGTAAGTTCCCCTCAGACATACATTCATATAAACTCCTACCCCTAATTGAATCGCGATTTGTTTAGCATCTCAACCGATTTGAATCGTCACATATTTGAATCGATTTTCAACCGGCTCGCGGTTAATCGTTACATCCCTACTTACTTACTATTGACCAATTGAGGTCCATTAGCATTTAATTTTACTTTATATTACACGTCTTGGATTTCTATATATTGCCTTTGCTACAGTTTATGTTTTGAAAGTGATCAGCATCAATTTTAGATGTTTTGCATTAACATGCCTTTTGTTTAATACAATACTGATACAATTAGTAACAAAAAAAAATTATAATAATAGAAATGGTGGTAGCCTACTAGCACAAATATTTCCTCTCCCACAAATAACTAAAAAGATTGTACATACCTAATGTGATGTCATACTCATTTTTGATGGCAGACAAAATAGGCTTATAGGTTTTAAATTCTTCGATTAAATAGCCAAACACCTCCTGGAAAACCTACATAATGAAGGGAAAAAGCAGAAAAAATATTTTATATAATAGTGTTGAATATATTACTAGTGTTGGGGGAAAAAAAATAAGTATATATATATATATATATATATATACATTTTCATAAATCACATCATACGAATTTATCTGAAATCACCACCTTGTAAATTACTCATGTTTTCTCATGAGATCACATTGTTTCTGTCATAACTGATAACCTTCATCCATACATTTTTTTCTCTAAAAAAAAAATTGTTTTTTTGTGAATCACTTTGTAAAAAATTGCCACCTTGCACGTTTTGTCATTAGATTGGGTTGTTTCCATAATAATAAGTGATGACACATTCCCATGGCAATTCATAACTATTCTATGTTTTGCTGAATTTCTGGCTAATTCGTATGATCTCAATCTGTTCACGATGGTTATGTTTAGGGTTGGACCGCTTACTTTTTGCTTACTAAAACTGTGTTTTTTTTTTTTTTACGAATTACACTGTAGGAATTAATCACCAGCTCACATAATACTTAAGTTTTTGTCATAACTGACAACCTTCATACATACTTTTTTTTTCTTTCTAAAAATGGTACAAATATTGTATGAAATTGTAAAATTGTATGAAATTACACCTTGTAAAATACTTTTCTCATGAGATTAGATTGTTTCTGTCATAATTGACAACACAATATCAAAATTCTGAAGTATTTTACACTTTGAGGAATTGGTTTCTAATTCCTACAACCTTATTTGTACGTTTTAACACTATCTGCTTGTGCTTTACTGACGGTTAGGTTTAGAGGTGGTTCTTAATGCATTTTATTCCCTAAAAGATCATACATTTTTTGTAAGATCAGGTTGTTTCTGTCATAAATGGTGACACAATCCCATGCCAATTTGTAACTATTTTACATTTCATATGCATCTGCTTACACCCCACTGACAGTGAAGTTTAGGATTGGACCTTTATGCTTAGTTTAAAATGTTTTTGTGTAAATCACATCATACAAGTTTAAATGAAATCGCAGCTTTATAAAATACCTCAGTTATAATCGACAACAAACCACAAATGCTGTTGATGAGGGAATGTGTCTTGTGGACCTTTTTGTTTTTGAAATCATCCGTCAACTGTTTAAATTAGTCAAACCCATGTGACTGAATCTTGGTTCTTGATTGACCAGGTCAACATTCATTTGCATCTCCAGGACAAGCTGTCCCCTCTTGTCCATCCAGATTACGTAACTCGTGTTACTTGTAATGAGTTACCCCCAACACTGCTGAAGAGTGTTGAAAAAAATGTCTTGTTAGAGTTAAATGTGACGTTGATTTTTGAATATAATGCACTTGTTTTTAACAGTAAACTTAAATTAGCAGTAAAAACGTAAAATTCATATATTTATGAAAAGACAAACCACAACAGCGTTTAATGTATTAATACTTTATTATAATAGTTTAACACGGAAAACGAACAGTACTGTTTAAATGCAGTTAATAAAGTAAACAACTGCTTCACAGACCAACAGTTTAGGATAAGGATTAAGTTACATGAAGTCTGTTACATAAAAAAGCTGATAGAGGCTGAATTATATGCAAACACGTAAGTTAGTGAAATTGATTTTCATCATCACACGTTTGAATAAATGACAGTCGCTGATTCGAGATGCAACAAACACGGTTTGCTTTTGGCCTACATCAAGTAAATACATGCTCAAGCGATAGAATTAGGAGTTGTGTTAAAAACTACAAATCCTAGACTGCGTTTTACAGCCGCGAATGAATTCGGTATGGGTCATGTAGTTGATGGCACTTCCCTCATGTCAGCAGTGTGCACTGCGCAGGGCTTTGTGTTCAACTACAGTACCCACACGCCACTGTAGAGCGGCTGTTATCCGGGGATATCTCACCGCTGCTGTTTCTCTCCTTAGTCTAGCGCTCTCTGCTTTTTAGCGGATTGGCACAACAGGGGTAGGATTACTAGGAGGAATACAAAAACATAAGCAAAAATGGCAGAGCTTGGAGCGGGGAGCCTGCTAACAGGAGATCCTGCTTTTAGTTATCAAGAGCATGAACTAAACGAGCGTTTGAAGCGGCTGTACCCGGCCGTGAATGAGGAAGAGACCCCCTTACCCCGATCTTGGAGCCCCAAGGATAAGTACAGCTACATCGGGCTCTCACAGAATAATCTGCGGGTGCATTACAAAGGTATACAGATGTGACACACGCTGAACTGTCAACCCGTAGGCCTTGACAATCACGGCTGGTTCGCTGCACTCGAATATATGCAATCTCCCCGATCTAGTTTGAGCTGCTTTTTTCCGTCCCCTTTGCTTTGTTACATAGAAGGAAAGAGGAATGTCCAAATGGGTTGACATTTAGCAAACCATCATGTCAGAATTCGGCTAGCGAGAGTAGCTTGGGGCATAAGCACGGCTGGAGTGTCTAGCTTTTGGACACCTACCTTTTACCTATTACCATGTAATAAACATCAAGTGTTATTGATTTGCCGAGCTTGTTTTGGAACTCCCTTTCGGTGAATTAGTCGAGGTTGGTGCTAGCTAGCCACGGCAGGGCAATAAGGGCAGCTGAATTGCAAATGCTTGTTAATTTCCTCCGCACTGCATACGTGTATTTGTGTATCAGTTATCGGGTGATTTATATAAGGACGCACGCCGCATCACAACGAAACAAATCACTGAAAATGGTTTTTGGTGCGCATTTGTGTTGACGAATGATTCGAATCCGAGCGAATCTTTCGAAGCGCTGAATTCATCGCCATAATAATGAATTCGAATTCCACAACACTAGCTGTTTAAACAGTTGTGGCGTTTCGAATGACCCAGTCGCCCCAGGGGGTCTGTGAATTTACCCAGTGCAGATGTACTACTCTTTTTGTTTAACAAGTGTGTACATGCTTCTAGAGAATACATAATAAAGCAGTCTATTTTACGAACTACCACTAAGCACAATATATAAGCTTTTAGTGGGTATGTTTTAAAAAGATTATTTCAGATTAACTGGTATCTGTTTTTAATCTTGCTAGCACTTAATTTTTGATCACTACTGAGTAACCCAACAGTGACTGCTGTCTTTTCAATTTCAGTAGACATGCAGTCGTCATTCCAGTAGTATCTGTTTAATTAGTCCCTAGAACTTATATATTATTTACAAGTACTTATTATTTTGCCACTAGTTACTGTCCCAGTAGTGCCAAATAACTTCCATTGTTCTTGGTAAAAAATTATACATTTTTGCCATTTTGAATTCTATGAAAATCTGGTGGACATATCAAATATTTATTCCTGTCTAGTACTGTATGTATTGTAATTGTTTCTGGCGTCTATTCCAGTTTACTAGTAAAAATTCGTCAAGTACTGTTACTTGATAAAGGAGAAAAAATAATGTACATTATATGGAAAATAATGTGTTTTTTGAACCTTAAACCGCATAAACACATTGCATTACACCAAATACACAAAATAATGTTCTTTTTAGCAACGTCATATGACCCCTTTAAAGGTGCTTTATGTAGGATTGACCTTGAACTAGGTTGAACTAGGTATTGCAGTCCAAATTCAAAATATTGGAGAGGATTTTTTTCACCCGGTCCCTCCTCCTCAGACTTGACGCACACGCAGGTTGCCAGATTGACGACACCAACACTTTCGTTTGCCAGCTTCCATGACTGAAATGAAATACGCTGTGTTTCCCGCCAACTGGCAACCCGGGGTGCCGAAATACAATTGGGTAAACTGGCAGTGGGCGGGTTTCACAAACCAAAACAGAGACCGACATTCCGGCCCGGAACGCACATTTTCAAAGGAGAATAACTGACTGTAGCATTGTTTTTCAGATAAACAAATATGTTAACTTAGCATGTTTTTTTAAATATCTGCAAACATATTATGGTATTTTTATGCTTTAGTAGAGTCAAAAACTTACATACAGCACCTTTAAACTAGTGTTATTCCATGTCATAACAATTAGCTCTTTTGTTGTAGCACCTACACTATCTCACAGAAGTGAGTACACCCCTCACATTTTTGTAAATATTTTATTATATCTTTTCATGTGACAACACTGAAGAAATGACACTTTGCTACAATGTAAAGTAGTGAGTGTACAGCTTGTATAACAGTGTCAATTTGCTGTCCCCTCAAAATAACTCAACACACAGCCATTAATGTCTAAACCGCTGACCACAAAAGTGAGTACACCCCTAAGTGAAAATGTCCAAATTGGGCCCAATTAGCCATTTTCTCTCCCCGGTGTCATGTGACTCATTAGTGTCGCAAGGTCTCAGGTGTGAATGGGGAGCAGGTGTGTTAAATTTGGTGTTATCGCTCTCACTCTCTCATACTGGTCACTGTTCACAACAAAACCCACCCAATCGCGTTTCGAGGGGGTTCCCCCGTTAAAAATACGCATTCCAGGGGCTAAATATCACTTTTTATTGTTTTTCAACCCGCGGACATGAAAAACAACCCGCGGCAACAGTGTTAAGCAGCCCAATTCCGCGGGAAAACCGTGGACTTGGCAACACTGGAAGAGGATAGCTTTCGGATAGCGCATCAAGAACCGGGTTGACCGGGTACTCGGTACCACCGGTACTTAAGAAAACCTGGTACTGTAACGTTTTCATTTTTTTAGTACCGACTTGGTACCGAAATACCGGGTCTTTTGACAACAGTAGTTAAGGCAGTGCTGGAAAATAATGGTGGCCACACAAAATATTGACACTTTGGGCCCAATTTGGACATTTTCACTTAGGGGTGTACTCACTTTTGTGGCCAGTGGTTTAGACATTAATGGCTGTGTGTTGAGTTATTTTGAGGGGACAGCAAATTTACACTGTTATACAAGCTGTACACTCACTACTTTACATTGTAGCAAAATGTCATTTCTTCAGTGTTGTCACATGAAAAGATATAATAAAATATTTACAAAAATGTGAGGGGTGTACTCACTTCTGTGAGATACTGTATGTGAATTATTAGGTTTGTAAAAAGGCTTTGTGTTGTCTGACAGATTACAGAAATGTTACTGACATGTACCCTGGTTATTTTTAGTTTAGACACAAATGCTGTTATAAAGCACCTAATTCTGATTTGATGGTGTGTGTGTGTCTGTGGGCCTGTTGTGCAATACTTTAGGATGGTTACCATTTTAGGGACACTGGTGTGTTCATTTTATTACATGTTCCAGTTGACAGCTGTTTGTGTCAATGCTCAGGCCCAGTGGGAAGTTTATCCTTATAGTTTAGTTCATTCCCTTTGAAACATCAATGAACAACACTGCATTATTTTGGTAATGTGCACTGCTTTGTGTCTGTGGAAAATTGTACCTCATTGGCAACTATCTCCTTTCAGGCTATGGGTATGTTTACCACTTCATAAGGTGGCTGATGTTAGCCACGTATTTGATTTTTAAGAGTCAGATGATATTGATATACTGATAGTCATTTTTTCCTTGTTGTTAAGGATCTTTGTTTCTTTTTGTTCTGTCATCCTGACTGTTTTGGTCAGTTTATCCTCGAAGCAGGATTGCAGTTATTAGATTACGGATTACTGTAATCTGTTTTTAAATAGAGCCATTATACATCTTGTAGCAACATATTTAAAGCAGCTCCACTTAATAAATTATTTAACCTGCAGTCTATTAACCTTCAGTGCTATTTGGCCAATGTACCAGATTCTATTTCTGTAGACTGAATTTTAGGAAACCCCATGTTGCTGTCAAGTAAAGACAATAGATATATGCTGTCAAATAGTGTGATGAAAATCTGTGCAATGTTTATACCATGTTATATTATATTATCCCACATGGCTCTCCATCTTTATTTAGGAAGCATGTAAAAAATAGCCAAGCCTTTGCATGATGAAACAAGGGGAAAAGACACCAGAGGCTCATTCTCTAGCTTTGTTCCCAGTGTGGACCTCATTTTACTCATCGACGTCACACTGACTAGGACGTGAGCCCATTAATGGAGAGAGGAAATGTGACTTTTGCAGCACTACACCCATGCAGATATTGTTTTTACACCACCTCCTGTGAGAAGATTAATGCAAGATAAATAGATACAAATATAGCATAAGCTTAGATTTTTTTCTGGGCAGTTTGGTGGGCTGCTGTCCATTTTCTGTGCAGGCTGTTGGACTCTGTGTTTCCTTTAAGCTGTGTAATGTTTGCCTATAGAGGGCTTTTGCCTGTCTGAGGAGCCAGTCATGCATGGTCAGTCGGTGCGGTGACATCACCAGATTGTGTTCGTTTCCCTTTAGTGTCTCTGTGAAGCTGTGAAACCCTGTTTGCTAACACTAGCACAACACTCCCAATCTTCTCTCCCTGTGTCTTTGTTCTCTCATATTGTAGTTTTTTTTTTTTGCCTGCTTAGCTGATGTTATTATGGGTGCCAGCTGTAGCCTTGTACAGCTCCCACCGTTTGCCTTAGATGTTTTGACAGAGAAACCTTAACTATGAAAAGGAGTTTTACCAGATAGCAGTGCAATTTTCTGGTGCAATTTTGATTTTGTGTGTGTTTATGTGAGAGAGTGTATGACTGTCATTCCACTGTTCATTTTTTTTCTCTTTCTTTTTATTTTATATTCTTTGGTGAATTTTACGAAGAAGTCTCTGTCATATTTACCAAATCAAAAAAATTAAAATAATATAAATAGTATTTAGCATAAAGACATTTTTTATGTATCGTGATATTATTCTTTTTTTTATTTTAATTTCAAAAGATGTTTCTTCACATCATATTTAATAATTGTAACTTAAGTAAAGGAAATTAGAGTCAGCTTGATGCATTTTGACATTATTTTCATGACAATTAAAGTTGTGATAAAATGCAAGTAGCGACAGATAGTTTTTTCTGTATTTTAGGTAGATTTTCGAAAAACAAATAAAAGAAATGTAGGGCGGGGACTTGGTTGTTTCCAACGGTTGTTGATTGGATGGAGCCAGATCAGCTTAAAATGAGCATGCAGTCAGTTGTAAGAAAGGGGCGGAGTTTAAGAGGACTAAATGATTGGAGAATCACTGGAAGTTTGAGTTATGATTAGGGCTGTGCCGGTTAGCGATACAACTGCTCCACCGTGGTATTAGACGCCACTGTGGTGGTATGACAAAACACATTTTTGTGCATTTGAATGTTTTTTTTTTTAAGTAAATTTTAGATTATTATTACATTTTAGATTAGAGCAGTGCTGTAAGATGCAGCAGACCTATGATTATGCACTGCAGAGGAGGACTTTGTATGAAAGCCGTTTGTGTTTTCTGCATTAAACATGTTTGGCATAGAAATAGAGGGAGGGACGGACAGACAAGCAACTAAAGAAGGAGAGAATCACCCAGGGTCCTCTTGGTGTTCTGTGCTCCTAGAATGGTGTGGTCATTGCATGATGTATAAATAGATTGAGTGTGTAAGCAGGGGGCGGTGCACACGTATGTGCATTTGTAGTGTGTGTTGAGCGAGAGAGTTGGGGATTTTCACGTACAGGGTCATCTGCCTTTACTCTGGTTGTATGAGCCGTGGTTATAAATAGATTTTGTGTGTGTTCTTGATTATGAATGCTTGTCTGGGTTTGGCAGACAAACCTATTGTGACTTCCTAGCAGAACTTGGAAAGCTAAAAATAAAAGTGCTTAATATTATTACAGTAATCAGAGATGATGATGATGATGGTGAATATACGTATACTCATTTTTGTATTCAAAACCCATACAGTAGCAATGTGACCCGGTGTCCTGCAATTAAACTTCAGGTGAGGGTTATGTTACAGGTCTGGGGCACATAAACACAAAGATACACTGAAATGTCCATATACGTGCGCACAGACGAGTTAAACATGAGACTCTGGAAGTGCAGTGAAGAATCTAATACTGTGTGTCCATTAATGCTGGCAGGTGTTACAACCTGCAGGAAACTGGATTAGGAGATTGGAGCACATTGCTATGGTACATGGAGGCTTAGACGACAATGACACTCGCCAACTTCCGTTCTCACAATTGAATTGAGAAGAATTGAAGTTATAGCATATATTAGAGGTTAACTTTAAAGACAACATTAAATGGCATTCAAAACCTATTTTGTTTCCATAATGTGACTTGTTGAGTGAAGCAGTATGAGAATTGATTAATCCATCAGGTATCATGAAAGTGGGCTTACCAGATCAGAACGGACCTTTGCATTTGAAGGGGGGAGGAGCTTAACAAATAAGAGGGCTTGATGATGTCAGCAGAGGACAAAAGTCGTTTTAGAAGCTGTTAAAACAGTTTTTTTCTTTGAATTAAACACTGATTATTCTTTACATTAAGACTAGAATAGTCTCTTAAAAAGTAAACGGTCATTTTGTTTTCATGTTGACTTTATAGAACTTCTGGGAATTTTTAAAGGTGCGGTGTATAATTTCTGCACCACTAACTGCACTAAATGGAAATGAAAAAATGATTGCTTCCAGACTGGTTTCCCAAACACTCCTCATTTACAAACAAACTGTCGACAGGGAGTGTGCTCACAAACAGGTAGTCCCACCACTAGGGATGCGCCGATCCGATATTCATATCGGGTATCGGCTCCGATAGTGCAATTTTTCTCGGATCGGGTATAGTGCCCTCAGAGAGGGCCGATCCAAATCCGAGATTTTATTTATTTTTTCCCGATTGTGCGAATTATTCTGTGTTACTTCTGTTTTTAACGTGCACAGTAACTGAAATTTAAAACTGTTAAAAGAAAGGCTCAATAACTGTTGCACAGATATAATACACTACGCATCAATTTCTCTTCCCTTTGTGCTTTGCAGTTTTTAACACGAAGTGCTTACAATGTGCGCATCCGGTGTGCAGAATGATGCGCTTGAAGCAACACGGCGTCAGGCTGTGACTCCATGTTGCTTCAAGCGCATCATTCTGCACACCGGATGCGCACATTGTAAGCGCTTCGTGCTCATAGACTGTATAAAAACAGTTCGTGCTGCACTGTATTTGTTTTGTCCTATCGTGTCTATCATATGTTGTTGCCTTATTAAAAAAATATGCTATACATTTAAAAGAAATGTATTTTAATTTTATAGTATATACTTATATATAAATGCATTCATGAATGTTTTTAATGAATGGATTTTATAATAATAAAAATAGCAATGTGTAACATTTTACCATATTTATTGCAACACTTTTATTTGTTACCCACAAAATATAGTTTTTTCACTAAATGTTTGGATTTCTAAAATTATTGTGCACTGATTTTTCTAGAATAACTTTTGCTGCCGAATTATCCACTAACCTAGTTTATGATACATTTTTGACATAGAATAGATTATAAATGAATGAATGATGCATTTTATATAGCGCTTCATTGTGTATTTATAGGTATCGGAATCGGTATCGGAGGCGAAAAAGGCGGATCGGAGCATCCCTACTACCCACCACAAACCCCTGCCATTGATTGAGCTGAAAGTTGACATGTCGGACCACTCAAACAAACAGAGTGATGTTTTATTGCCACACTGTTTGTACTCTTTGGGAATACAACCTCAGCGTAATTATAGATGTCTCTGCACTAGACTTGTGCCGGTATTCGGTAATACGGTATATCACGGTAATGAATGTGCACGATATTGTTATCGTGGGCACTTCTAAATACCGTGAATAATTATATATTACAAATTATTCAGAACTGTGTAAAACTTTTAACTTTATACATTTTTCTGTATTGCTTTATTGCATTTAAATGTTCAGTTATTTTTGTTATAAGAAAAAAGTTATTAAATCTGTTATACCGTATTATGACAGCACTCTTTAAAACTAAATTTCAATATCGCGATAATACCGTATACCGTGATAAAAGCATTAGCAATTAATCGCAACATGAAAATTTGATACCGGCATATCCCTACTCTGCACATCAAAAATGGTTAGGAGAGAGTATTTTATCATTTAAAAAAATTACTTGAAGGGATAGTTCACCCAAAAATGAAAATTCTGTCATTATTTACTCACCCTCATGTCATCCAAACCTGTATGACTTTCCCTCCTCAGCGGAACACAAAGGTAGACATTTTGGAGCATGTTGGTAACCAAACAGTTTTGGTAAACTTTTACTTCCATTGTAAGACTTTTCTCAAACTATGTTATTTTATGTTCGGCAGAAGAAAGAAATTCACACAGGTTTAAAACATGATGGTGGGTAAATGATGTCCAAATTGTCATTTCGGTGGACTAACATTGTTTTTCTTTGCTGCTTTTGAAAGCAGTAGAACCTGTCTCATGTTGGTGATGGTCTGGAGAACTGTGAGAATGAGAGATAGAAGGAAGCCCAGTATAGTTGGTTTTGGGTTCACCTGACCCCTATTGCACATGTTTCTTGCAGGTTGTTTACATAAGCATTTAAAAACAGTTAGATGGAGCCTGTTGTCGTCAACTTTCGTGACCTATCCTTAGCTGAAAACCCTGTATATGTGCCCTTAAAAACTGCTCTGAACCTTGTTGTTATATTGTATGTGGACAGTCATCTATACCAGAGGGTGTGTTTGGTCAGTGACTCATTTCCCTCAATGTTTCCGTCTTGCTTTAGGCCACGGAAAAAACCACAAAGATGCAGCATCTGTACGGGCCACCCATCCTATCCCTGCCGCTTGTGGCATCTACTACTTTGAGGTGAAGATCGTAAGCAAAGGAAGGGATGGGTAAGTGCAAACAGTTGGTTGGTGGCATTTGTACATTTTACTGAGATTACATTTTACTTAGAAAGTTAATTTAAAAATTAATAAATTAATATGTTTTACATATAGTGGGGTTCAAAATCCTGAGAGAACATTAAAAATCTTAGGATTTTGAAAAAATGAATTTTTGAAAAAAGATGTTCTTGCTTCCACTGAAGCACAAGATGATGTTTAAACCATTATAAAATATTAAGTTGTACACAAACTTGTGGAATTCATGTAGCTTGAGTGGAGTTGTCAATAAAGCAAAATGACAATCCAAATACTAAGACATTCTGAAATTAAAATAAAGGCATTCTCACAGTATCAGAATGATAATTGCTGTGAAACGTTTACCCTGCTTCATGCTTGAGTCACTACTTGGTAAGTATTTGTCATGCCTTCAGTTTGAAGATATCATTGTCCAAAAATAAATGGAAAATTGTTCCACCCTTTCCTGTCACCATTTTGCAATGATTACTAAATATATTTCTGCTGGATCACTAATGTTATTCTAGGCCATCTAACTGCAACTTATAGGTCGTGCCTAAATCTGTTGAAAGGTGTCGAGTCATCCTTTAGTCACTGTGGTCCCAGGCTGTGGAACTCTCTCCCAGACTCACTTAGCACTTTTAAAAAGTACCTTGTGCACAGGGACTTATACTCAGTTTAATCACCACTTTAATTGTTTCAATTGATTGAGCTTGATTGTTCTCTTATTTTACTGAGGTGCAGTCACATTTACTATTATTTTGTGATTTTTCACTGGTGAAAACCAGTCATTTACATTGGAATCGACACAACCGTGAATTTTATGTGACAGCAAAAGTTCAAGTTGGTCACATATTCACCGCATATTGATCGACACAAAAAGTCAGGTTCTCATTGGTTTAAAAGTGACTTCTGTGTGAGCTGTGCTTTATACATCGCTACACTATTGACAACAGGCCATGGATCTTTTTTTTTATTCTCTAACGTTTGCAGAAATCAGGAGCATCGTGTATGGTTTAAAGGAACACTCCACTATTTTTGAAAATAGGCGAATTTTCCAACTCTTCAGAGTTAAACAGTTGAGTTTTACCGTTTTCGAATCCATTCAGCCGATCTCCGGGTCTGGCAGTAGCACTTTTAGCTGTAGCTTAGCATAGATCATTGAATCTGATTAGACCGTTAGCATCTCGCTCAAAAATGACCTAAGAGTTTTGATATTTTTCCTATTTAAAACTTGACTCTTCCGTAGTTACATCATGTACTAAGACCGACAGAAAATGAAAAGTTGCGATTTTCTAGGCCGATATGGCTAGGAACTATACTCTCATTCCGGCGTAATAATCAAAAAACTTTGCTGCCGTACCATGGGTGCAGCAGGCGCAATGATATTATGCAGCGCCTGAAAATAGTCCCCAGCACGCTCCCTGTGCAAGCAGGTGGTCACGTTGGTTATTTTGATGGAAGTTAACCTATTTTCTATCCAGCTAGGTAACTTCCAATAAGCCTATTTTCAGGCGCTGCGTAATATCATTGCACCTGCTGCACCCATGGTACAGCAGCAAAGTTCATTGAGAATTACGCCGGAATGATAGTATAGTTCCTAGCCTTATCGGCCTAGAAAATCGCAACTTTTCATTTTCTGTCGGTCTTAGTACACGATGTAACTACAGCAGTGTTAATTTTGACAGCAAATTTTAGTTTTAGTCATAGTCTTTTGGCTAAAATGCCATTTAGTTTTAGTCATATTTTAGTTATCTGAATTGTTTTTTAGTTTTAGTTTTATATCATAAGATTTTAGTCGACTAAATCTACAGTAAATTTAGTCGGCTAAAATCGAATGGGTTTAGTTACAGTGTAATGCATTTATTAAGCATTTCTCCAAAATTTCCAAACTCATTATATAGGTTTGATATTAAGGTTTTATCATGATAGACACCGATTTAACTGCTGATTTTTCCCGATATTTAAGCATTTTAAAATAATCGGATATCGTTTTTTTTAATATCGGATTCACCGATAAATGCCGCCATCTTGTGGATGTTTTCAGAATTGCGTGCAGGATCGCCATTGCACCACGGTGTCTGAGGGGAGAGGAGACAACAACAACGGCGTGCACAGGTACTTGATTTACTGTAGTTAGTAAACTTTATTTAGCATAACAGCCATTAATGCACAAATTGTAATGTATGTAATGTATTACATAAATGCCTGATATGCAGTTTATGCAGTTTATGCAGCTTGGCTCAAAGAAATAGAGACGAACTCACGGAGTCACGTAAGATAATCCGTCAAGTTCTGTCCCAATAAAGACGTAATTTTGCGTGAATTAAATAATATGCAGCCATGAATGGGCGCATGTTGGAAATAAAAGTGCTGAATTTAATTCGCTCTCTGTTGTCTATATGCTCATCGTCTCATGAAGTCGTTATTTTGCTTATTGTTAATATTAGTGTTGCTGCTGATGCTTTAAATAAAATGTTTTTTTTTGTTGTAATATGAAGATTAAATTTAACATGAAAGACTGCTAATTTTCAACACTTTTTTTAAGATGACTGAAAGGAGGAAAAACCAGAGTGAAGTATGGACTTACTTCACTCAGTCATTTATTTACTGTATAACAGTAAATAAATATCGGTTTTGCATATCAGTTATCGGGCACATAAACACGCAAATAATTGGTATCGGTATCGGTTATAAAATGTCAATATCGGTCGATCACTAATCATAAGCTCTCTTCTTGGGCCACTCGGGGTACAGCTGCGCTTACCTGCAGTCGTGAATGCAGTGATGGACAGCTGTCTTTCCTCAGTCAACTGGTGTTTGGGTTTCACGTGATTTCTCATTGTGATGGTGATATTATGATAACTCAGTTTCACTGATTAATACAGGAGGTGAAAGACGTAATCAACTGTGTTTACGTAAATACTCGTCAAAACGGACAATTCAACATCATTTTGTGTGTAATTTTCCGTTCATGCGACGCAAAAGAGTACTTGCGCACTGTGAGATGCGCTCTCTGTGTGTGTATGCTTCGGTGTCTGCGCTCAGAAAACCGGACCTAACTGAGTTCTCTCTTGTGTCGTCAGATTTATCTATATGTCTGCTCTTCTCTTACTCCCACATAATGACATTTTTTTACGTTTTATGCGCCGTGCAGCAAGTGTATTTTAGCTTATGTCCTGCTGGTTGATGTACGCATCTAACCTCCTAACTATGCAGCAGATTGGTTCTGAAATCGAATGAATCTCTTCCCAAATCGTCCCTCCCTAACATTTTCATCTCATTTTTATTAGTTGACGAAAATGTTGATAGATTTACGTCCATTATGACGAAAATTATTCGTCAACGAAATTAACACTGAACTACAGAAAAGTCAAGTTTTAAATAAGAAAAATATCATTTTTGAGCGAGATGCTAACGGTCTAATCAGATTCAATGATCTATGCTAAGCTGCAGCTAAAAGTGCTACCGCCAGACCCGGAGTTCGGCTGAATGGATTCGAAAACGGTAAAACTCAACTGTTTAACTCTAGGGGAGTTGGAAAATTACCTATTTTCAAAAATAGTGGAGTGTTCCTTTAAATGCAGTCTCATTGTTTATCAAAGTCCTTATTTTTAGTGAAGCTAACATTTGTCCTCTCTCATTGGTGTTTTCAGGTACATGGGAATTGGACTGTCTGCCCAGGGGGTCAACATGAACAGACTGCCTGGTGAGTAAGTGTGTGTGTGTGTGTGTGCTTGTATGTACACTAAAGGGATGAGCTGTTGACTACGGGTCATGGTGAACTGTGGGTGACTAATTTCTGTAGGTTCTGAGGTTACATTTCTGTAGCCCACAAAAAAGGCCATTTAAAAAGTAACTTTATTTGGTTACATATTAAGTGTGTTTAAGTAAAACAAATGGTGTTCATAACCCCTTTTAATTCTGGCAGAATATTGAAGAAAAAAAAGTAGGGAGGGACTTGATTTCATCCATCAGGAATGATTGGATTGTGAAAAGTGGGCATTACATACCAGAACGGAGCCAGACGATTGGAGCGAGCTAGAAAGGAAAGTTGTTTAGGAAGAAGAGCTTTGAAGATTAAAAGAGAAGTTATTACATTTTGATTAAAGATTACGGAGACGTTTTTCCTTTGCAGTAGTGTGCACTTATGAATCCTTTCATGAAAAGGCCAATGCTGACTTTACAGTTCACTTTTGGCTATAGTCTTGTAGCCTAAGACCATTTGTCTCCTACTTTTTCTGTCTTTCACTTTTTAATATCTTTTTATCACAGTAAGACTGTAATTCAGGCCAAGAACGGGCCTCAACATGTCCTGGAAAACATTAGCTGTGGGAATGACCTTGCAAATGCAGAGACATCTCAAGGTGTTTCTTTCTGTGCACCTTAATCTCAGGAAATAACTTTGTGATGTGTTTTTTTTTTCTCATGAGTCCTCAAAGGAAAGGAGAGGAAGGAGAGTAGAGCAGACCTAGATCTCATTATTGGTTTTCCTCAATGGATTTTACCTGGTGTCGAGAATGTTCTGAGATCACAAAGCCTTGTCATAATTATTCATACAAAAAGCTCAAATTAATCAGAAAAAATAGTTTCATTCTCAAAGAGAATCCATTTACACGCCAGAGGACGTCAAGCTGCTACCGAACCAGTTCATTTAAATGACTAACTGGAATGAAAAATGACACAATAACCAAACATAATCCAGTTTTATTGCAAAAACCAAATGAAATGTGCTTGAATTACTAAGAAAATGTGACTGAATATTTCGACTGTAATATGTGGAGCACACTCGTATACACAATATTTGGAATTTGAAAAATATGTTGGCTGCTTTATTCTATCAGTTTGTACACATGTATTATTTGACAACGTAAAGTTAATCTGACTAAATTTAAATGTAATCTAATAGTAAAACTTTTTAATTTTAAATCAAAATGTGTTGCTAAATTAAACACTGAATTGAACAGGTGGTGTAAATAAGTTTAGCTTTAGTTAGGTTGACACATTCATTAAGATTTAATATGCAAGTAGACACTAATGAAATTAGTAACCTGTTTTGAAGAATATTAAAATAGATTCAGCGTGTGAATCACATCTTGCTGTAGAAACATCACATTACATATTAGCTCTATATTTATCTATAAAGCGTCAAGTATTTTCAGCAGTCATTATTACTCCAGTCGTCAGTGTCACATGATCCTTCAGAAGTCATTCTAATTTGCTGATTTTGGTACTCAATAAATATTTTTTATTATTATCAATGTTGAAAACCGCTGTGCTGATTAATAATTTTGTGGAAACCGTGATGTTTTTTTTTTTTAGAAATTGAAAGAATGGCAATTTATTTGAAATAGAAATTGACCCCAAACTTTTAAACGGTAGCATTTATTAGACAAAAGCATAAGAGAAAGGTCTATATGCAGAAATAGAGAGACGAGTTTTGGGCACAGTTGAGTTTATGTCACCCTCCTGTTTGACCCCTTTGACCAAACAAGTGACTTTGTCGTTTGCTTGTTAGCTTCTATACTGTGCCTGAGGCCATTGAAACACTTCGAAGCAATCTAGCCTATTCGGCATGTGCGTGCTGACGACAACTTATGTGTTTATTGACCCCTGTGCTCTCTGTATAAACCACTCTTTGTCTCAGAGCGTTTTGGAATATAGTGGAATTGTAGACAAAACGCATGTCGGGTGGCCAGTGTATTTTCTGGTGTGTTTAGTGCTTACAGCCAACAGCATGATATTTTTTCTCTGGTTGTAGGTACTTCCTTGACTAGAGCTGGGATGCTGTAATGTATGTTCAGTTCAGGTTGCTGGATTGCTGCTAGAGTTTATGCTGGAAAACTCATGTTTCAATGAGGTCTGATGTTTTGCATTTTACATTTTGGGTATTTTGTAATTGTGTGTTATAGAACAAAGCTGGTTCATTGGAAAGCAGATGATAACGGCGATATTTTTTTTCCAGCTACAAATGTATTAAAATTTTTGTAATTTAATATAATAAAAAAATGCATAATAAAATATAATAAATATGTTAATGGAATACAATTAATAATATAAAGTATGAATAATAATAAATATATAATTTAAATGTAATGTAAATATATATGTATATTTATATTATGTATAGGCTGCTATATAAAATGTGATAATGTGTAGTAATGTATATAAAAACATTCTATAAAATATATGTATATGTTATAAAATGTTTTATATATATACATTTTTATAAATGTGTGTGTGTTTGTGTGTGTGTGTACTGTATATATTATTATTATTATCATTATTATTTTATGTTAGCTTCTAATGTCTTTAATCAGCTTGCCATTTCTCTTTGTGCTTTTTTTTAATTTAAATCACTGAAGTCACTGTAGTTTCTTATGAGAATGTATGGCGCATTGGCACATTGTATGTTTGCATGTGTGGGTATGTGTGCAGTTTGAGTGTAATGGTTTTACGCGTCCCGCTGACCTCCATGTCTCTGATCCCATACTGGAGTTCTGCCCATTTCATTAGCATGAAGGGAACACTGACCTTTGCTTTAGGAGTAATATCCCTGCCCGCACTGCTCTGCAGATTAATCTAATACCACACCACAAGCCCGCTACAGCCACTGCTTTACTTTGTCGTTTTTTTTTTTTCATTCTTCTTGCATCTGTTCAGTCTGCCATTCACAGAATGCACTTGTTTACTCCGTTTCACGTAGTGACTATAAATATAATTGCTTACGCAATACCATTTTTATAATGTACTAATCATAATTGTCTGCCAACATTCATGTTTTGAGTCAGATCGGCCCGGTCAGTGATGTAGACGGACTCCTCCTCTTGGTGGTTTGAGGCAGTGCAAGGTTTAATGAATTGTTCAAATGGTCTTGTAAAATTTACACACAGGCTTGTCCAGCTGCCCACCGAACGAGCCTCAGGGTGGATGTATGTAGCCTTTTAAAGGACATTTTTTTCATGTTGTTACAAAAAACCCTAAATGCGCCTGTCATAAATGCAGTGCTTGTTTCAGAACAGCTGGAAAGCCAACTTCTGCCCACCAGGGCCATTGTCGGTGGTTACAGTCAGGACCTAAGTGTGTTTTTGCTGTGGTCCACCCTTATTATTTTATCCCAGAGTTTTGCTGCCTACCCAGCAAGGGTCCAGCACATATTCTTTTCTGCACAATAATGGGAATGGAGCTCATAATTTATGAAAGAAGCACTATTTTATGATGCTGTAGACCAGATGGCATATCAAACGCTGCAGGCTTAAGATCAGCTCCGACTCATTCTGTGATCAGAGCAGAGACAGAAACAAGATTCCTTATTAGCAGGCGAAATCTGTGCCCTCCTAGATCTCTACATAAGTGCAACACCATTGTTGACATCCCATGCATATTTGATTATTACATACTTCGGCTAATTTGCTTATGCTTTCAGCTTCCAATAAAAGTGTTGTACTGTCATCGCCTTCTTACATATTTTAGCATGTTTATATCCACTCTACAGAATTCCACAGATTTGCCCCAAACATCAGTGCAGGAAATGCAGTTTTTGAATCCAAGTGATAGCTACCCATTTTAATGATTGCATTTCTCTCTCTCACCTCAGGTTGGGACAAGCACTCCTATGGTTACCATGGTGACGATGGACACTCCTTTTGCTCCTCAGGGACTGGCCAACCGTATGGCCCAACCTTCACAACGGGCGACGTCATTGGCTGCTGCGTGAACCTCATCAATAACACATGCTTTTACACCAAGAATGGGCACAGTTTAGGTAATAATTTAATGAAAAATGACTTAAGAGTAAATCTTACTAATGCTGAAATCATTAGAAATCAATTTCGGTGCTCAACTTAAAGTTTTTGATATCTTTCTTATGTAATCTCAGAATCCACAATACTAAGCTGTTCTTTTCCCTCCAGGTGTGGCTTTCACAGATCTGCCAGTAAGTAAAGCACACAGACCTCTCTTAAACAGTGTCATCTAAAACTAAAATGATTTTTTATTTTAATAAAATTAAGTATAAATATTAGATGAAAAGCTTAAAGGGGTCATATGATGCGATTTCGATTTTTCCTTTCTCTTTGGAGTGTTACAAGCTCTTGGTGCATAAAGAAGATCTGTAAAGTTGCAAAGACTAAAGTCTCAAATCCAAAGAGATATTCTTTATAAAAGTTAAGAGTCAGCCACGCCTACCTAAAACGGCTCGTTCTAACACGCCCCCACATGTCTACGTCACTATGTGGGAAGATTTGCATAACGCCGCCCAAATGTTCACGCAAAGAAAGAAGGCGTAACTTTTATTCTCGCTGTAGTATTGTTGTTGCCGCTGCCATGTCATGAAGGTGCTGTATGTTTTGTTGTGAAAGTGAAACTACTTTGTTTGGCCTTCCAAAAGAGGACGATATCTGCTTCGTCATGTCTGGAGCTGATCCGTGCTGGTCACTGAGGAAATACAACAACTTTGCGCTGTGGATCACCGGATCAATAATGTACAGTATGTGGAATATAATGTGTTGTTTTAACCTTAAACCGCATTTCATTACACCAAATACACAAAATAATGTTCTTTTTAGCAACATCATATGACCCCTTTAAGAAACTAAAACGAAAATTAGTTGTCTAGTACTACTGTTAATAAAACTGAAACATAAGTAAAAAAAAAAAATAGGGCTAAATGGAAATATTTAAAGAAAACTAATGACAAAAGCACACAACAAAATTAAACAAACTAAAATTAACTAATATGTATAATATATAAACTAGTATATAAGTAATACTAAAATGACACCACTCTCAAATCTCAAGTTTTATATGAAAATGTTTGTATCAAAAATACAAACTCAGGCTTTTGGAAATGTATGCCTATATTGACATGATACTTTTATTTTTCACGCCATCCAAGGCCTCTATCACGCCTGTATCTTTGTTCTAGCTTGTACTTTTCTGCCCAACTTTGGATCTTTGTATTGCAGCAGTTCTCATGTTACTCTCCCCCTAGGATGAATCGCTTGCATTGTAGCATTCGTCATTTGTAAGTCACTCTGCGTCTGTTAAATTAATACCTTTAATGGGAGATTGATGGTGTGGTGTTGTCTAATTTTGAGCGCAGATTAGAATTTATGTTTCTGTATGGAGCTTCAGGTGAGGCCTTGCCAGTTAAGGTGTGACTGAAGCATCCCCCGTGCTGAGAATTACTGACGGTGTATGTGTAGACCTTCTGAGCAGACTCTCAGCTCTCTCTTTTTGTCTCTGTCTCTCATTTCAGCCTAACCTGTACCCCACAGTAGGGCTACAGACTCCAGGAGAGATAGTAGATGCTAATTTTGGCCAGCAGCCTTTTGTGTTTGACATTGAGGACTACATGAGCGAATGGAGGGCCAAGATCCACAGCATGATTGCCCGCTTCCCCATCGGAGAAAGACTGGGAGACTGGCAGTCTGTTCTGCAGAAGTGAGCTGCCAGTCACCTAATAATAAATTCAGCAGTCTAAAAGATGATTAAAAACATCTAATTCATGTTACGCTGCAAATTCGTGATTCTTAATGTTTTTTCTCCCCATATTAACTTTTTTATATTTATATCTGCAGTATGGTGTCCAGCTACCTAGTGCATCATGGGTATTGTGCCACAGCAATGGCCTTTTCCAGAGCCACAGAGACCATGATCCAAGAGGACCAAACCTCCATAAAAAACAGACAGAGTGAGTACGAAGTCAACTAGTTTAGCTAAAAATGAATGGAAATAAATAAATTGATAATTATGTCTTGTGTGATTTGAATATGTGACAGAATGAATGTAGACATAACACTGGTAATGAGTTCAGATCTTCCCATGTCCTTTGTGGTTTGGGTATAGGAAAATATAACCGTCACGAGGAACTTAATTTTTTACGGAATAAGCAAAACCATTGCTTTTTTGGATGATGAGTTATGAGTATTTTATCAATTTCTCAGTTAGAGTTATAGTAAAGCATCTTTGATTTAAGCTGTAATTAACACTCAAATGAATATTTAATGTTACCATAATTGGTTATCTGGCACTGGCTACAACTGAGTGAATTTAATAAATCTTGTTAAATGCATTTCAGTATAAGCCATGAGATGAATTAAATGTTATGTGTAATTTTGCTCACAAAGAAAGGCAGAGTCTATAGGAGTATAATTTAAGGCTGAAAGTTGGTATTATCACGAGTAATCAAATTTCTGCATATAACGTTGCATTGCTTTAACCATTCTCTGTAGATCCCACTTTCATGCATGCCACGATTGGTTGAATATGCACACATGCTTGCACTCTATAGGTCAAACTACTTTTCAGTTATTACCTTCAGCGCATTCATAATAAAACGTGCCGCAGACGGCTCCGGGGGATGAATAAAGGCCTCCTGTAGCGAATCCATGTGTTTTTGTAATAAAAATATCCATATTTTAAATGTAATAAACACTTTTCTCTCACTTCCGCTGACTGTCATACACTGAAGCAGTTCCGGCGGATGACGTAAGACGCGCGGCGTTGCGTGATTAGTGAAGAATGCGGAGAGAGAACAAAACAAAACGCCGGTCACGAATTACAAGTACAAACCAAAGATTTGCAAAGAAAAATGTCAGAGGATTTCGATATAAACCAAGAGGAGACTGGTTTTCCTTTGCTAAAGTAAGGAAACTTTGCTTTTGCTCCTATAAACAAACTCGCGAGACTAGCATACCTCAGAGGCGCGCGCGCTGCGCATATGTGCTGCGTCATCCGCCAGAACTGCTTCAGCTGCTTGACAGTCAGCAGAAGTGAGAGAAAAGTGTTTATTACGTTTGAAATATGGATATTTTTCTTTAAAAAACACATGGATTCGCTACAGGGAGCCTTTATTCATCCCCCGGAGCCGTCTGCGGCACGTTTTATTAGAATGCGCAAGCTTTATTTGACGACTTGTGGACTGTTCAACTGCAACACCCGCTGACTGCAATGATAGAGCTTGGAATAGCGCTACAGGGGGCCTTTATTCATCCCCCGGTGCCGTCTGCAGCACGTTTTATTATGAATGCGCGAGCTTTATTTGACGATTTGTGGACTGTTCAACTACAACACCCGCAGACTGTAATGATAGAGCTTGGAATAGCCAAGACAGTTTTTAATGTAACTACCACTGGATTCATCTGAAAGAAGAAAGTCATATACACCTAGGATGCTTCGAGAGTAAGTAAAACACAGGCTAATTTTCATTTTTGGGTGAACTAACCCTTTAACTGTCAGGGCTGCATATTTCACTATACATTATTATGCGAATCTGTCGCAATGTGATTCAAGCTTTGCAAAGAGGCTGTTACAGAAGGAGCATTTAAAAACTATATTGGCAGTAAACCCTCGGATAGCAAACCCATAGCTTGCATGTAAGTGCCATTTATCATTTCACCTGTGAGGAGGGCATTTACATAGAAGTCTTAAAAGCACAAGAGTAATAAAACACCTGTTTAAAAGGGTCAGAGATGAGGAAAATGATCATAAAACTAAATAATGAATGCTCAAAACACTTTACTAAGATTGTAAGTGGACCTTAGGGAGAACTATTGAGTGATAAAAAATGTATGAAATGACCACTTTAACAAAACAAAAGCAAAACACACTAGTTGTTTCTTCTTTGTGCTTACAGGAATACAGAAGCTGGTATTGGCAGGACGTGTTGGAGAAGCCATTGACGCAACACAACAGTTGTACCCCGGACTCCTAGAACACAACCCCAATTTACTCTTCATGTTGAAGTGAGTATGTCTACCAGCCTCTGAGAACCATGTGTGGGCAATTTTGTTTGGAATGGATCAAGAGGAATTGCTTAAATCCCGAAACATGGTGAAAAATGTGTTCTCTACTCTGGGGATCAGTAGAGCTCAGTTGTATTCGAACATCCACAGCTTTCTGGAGTTTCATAGTGCAAGCGTACTCAGAAAGCATGCAGCCTGAGATTAGGGCAATCTTTAACTCTGTGTTATACAGAATAAAGGTTCTAAAGTTCCCTACGGTCATTCTGACGAATTGGCTCTATTTTTGTTACTTTTCTTTATAGCAAACACACACTGGGTGAAAAAGGATCACAGTTGCTTTGGTCTGAGCTGCTCTGATACGATTAGTCATACTATTGCATAAGGTGGAAAATGAGCTGCCTTTGAACTAACTTTTTTTTTTTTTATTTAATTTTTTTTTTTAGTAATGCTTACAAGTCATACGTCAGCTACTCTGTTGAATTGTGGATGTTATTTATAATATGCAGGCCATACTTCCAAACATTTATCTCGCTGAGGGAGCAATGACTTTTTAAATTGCATGCAATTAGAAGATCCACCTACTAAAATAAGTGGTTTCAAACAATAGCTGAAGTTAAAGAAATGGAAAGGTTTGTATATCTACTTTCACTTAAAAAAAACAAGTTATTGAGAGAAAATGGGGAAAATAGTTAGTTTTGGTTTCGGCTGGCAGACGGGAGTGTACAAAAGTCACAGTTGAAACATTGACAATGTTACAAAAAATTCTATTTCAAATAAATGCTGTCCTTTTGAACATTCTACTCATCAAAAAAATCTTGAAAGCAGTGTATCACAATTTCCACAAAAATATTAAGCAGCAACTGTTTTCAGCATTGTTTATAAGACTTCTGTTAGACTTCTGTTCTTAGGTTTTAAAGGGATAGTTCACCCCAAAAATGAAAAAGCTGTCATCACCCTCAAATTGTTCCAAAACTGAATGAATTTCTTTCTTCTGCTGAACAAAAAAAGGTGATATTTTGAAAAATGTTTTCCATAGTCTTCCTTTCCATAGTTTTCATTGTCTTCCATAGTATTTTTTTTTTCCATATACTATAGATTATCAACTCTTTGGTTGCCCATATTCTTTAAAATATTAGCAATCAACAGAAGAAAGAAACTCATACAGGATTGAAACAACCAGAGGTTGAGTAAAAGATGACACGATTTTCATTTTTGGGTGAACTATCCCTTTAATAATTCTTTGTCATGCATTGAAAACGTGATATCCCTGATCTTTTTCCTCAAGCAAACTGCATTCAGACAATCAGTCTAAGCACTACGGAGCAATAAACCCTTTTCTCAACGTGTTACTGGCATTTATGGCGCATTCGCTGCCTCTGTGTAATGTTAAACTTCTTTTTGGAATCAATTGCAGTTACGTTTGCTTGGCTGCAATTTTGTTTTGACATAAAGGTGAAACAGATTTATATATATATATATATATATATACAGTATAATGGCATTTATGCTGCCTCTGTGTAATGTTAAACTTCTTTTTGGAATCAATTGCAGTTACGTTTGCTTGGCTTGCTTGGCTGCTTGACATAAAGGTGAAACAGATTTATATATATATATATATATATATATATATAGTGTATAAATTAGAATATATGAGATGTAATTGCATTGAAATATTACTTTTATATTTAAAAAAAAA